GGGAGGCAACTGATCAGTGTTTTTCTCTCCCCCTTCCTCTCTCTCTAAAAATCAATAAATACACATTCTCAGGTGATAATTTTTTAAATATTTGCTGTTGACATTTTACAAAATAATGACATGTACTCTTCAAAGCTGTCAAGGTTATAAAATGCTAAAAACTATCCAGAGTATAGAAAAGTGAAAATTAAATGCAACGTATGATTCCTAGACTAGATCCTGGACTGGAGTAAAAATAATTGGGATTGTTGATAAAACTTGAAATTATTACATAATAGTATTATATTGTGGGGCTACAAGAAATACTTTTCCTCTCACCTTCTAAGTTCTTCTAGCTGTGCTAGTAATTCAAATGACATACAGCAGATTAACAGGAGAAACTCAAAATTTAATATGTGCAAACAGGAAATTCACATAAGCATGAAAATTCCAAAGACATTGAGGCAAGTTTGTGTCTATATGTCACTTTGGACAAAAGAGCAAAGGGGGAGAGGTGGTCTTAGATTTTAAAAGTGAAAATGGATAATTTATAGGTAGCAAGAAAGTGCCAAATATGTTCGTGCTAGGCAGCTCAGAAAACAATAGGACCATGGTGGGGGGTCTCTGCTTGGAGTCTTCCTACCTGTCATACATAAATCATGTTAGGATAAGGCGAATATGCTGAGAATTCCTTCCCCAAACAGGTCTTTCCAACTGAATCTGTTGGGCTGGAAAGGGGAGGGCCAGACGTTCTTTCTGAGTCTTGTTTTTTTCTCTATCTTTTTATTGATTTTTAAAGAGAGGAAGGGAGAGAGAGAGAGAGAAACATCAATGTGAGAGTGGAACATCCATTGGGTACCTTCTGCCTGAGATTGAGCCTGAAACCTGGGCAATGTGCCCTGACCCGGAATCAGACCTGTGACCCTTTGGTGATGGGATGATGCCCACCCACCTGATCCACACCCCAGGGCCTGAGTCTTGTTTCTTAATAACCAGCCTAAAATCAACATCCCAGAAAGCAATATTAGGGTGGCTAACCTTTGTCCCCTTCAGTATCAGTGGTAAAATGTTTTAATTTTGATAATAGAAAGTACACACTAAAATACTTAGGGGCAATGAGCTTAGTGTTTCTAATTTACTCTCAGATGATTCAGAAAGTAATTACATATACACAGAATGATAAAGCAAATGGAGCAAAATGTAAACAACTGATGAAAGAAGAGGAATTTCTTATACTATTCTTGCAACTTTTCTGTATGTTCGAAATTATATGAAAATTGAAGTTATATCCAAAAAGTGCCCTGTATGAGAGAATTTCATATAGAACCAGTTCACTTAATTACTGTCTCAGTGTTTGCCTACTTTAAAGCATCAAACTAACTTCTAAAAAAATCTGAGTGGGTGAAGTGTGGAGTAACATTTTTCTCCTGAGTCATTTGCTTTGTAGTGACATATTTCTTATCCCCAAGTATTAAATTCTAGATTCGCATTTTGAAACACAAAGACATATTTACCAAAAACATGATTTGCTTTAGCAGTATCATCAAGTGTTTCCTTTCTACTGTTAGGAAAGAAACATCTGCTGATTTTTCACCGCTCCATTTTGTTCTTTCTGATGTTACCAGAATGTATTGTGGGGGTCGGGAGCAAGCATCCCCAAAATGTGCCACCCTGCATGCAGATTATTTCAGACTGAAATCACTTAAAATCCAACACACTCAGGAAGAGTTTTTTACTTCCCCTTTTTCTTAGATTCCTACTTTAGGAAGGGAGACTTGACTTAATCACCTTAAGAATTTTGACTCTAGCATTAGCCAGGAAGACCAGGCAAGTTAGGCTAGATACAACCCCCCGCCCCACCTTTGTGTTCCTGTCGTTTCTGAGTTGCCTAACAAGAATTTGCTGCCTTGTACTTCAACTACGATAAATTGCCCATTCTCACTTCTGAAATCTAGTACCCTGTCCCCCCTTTTCTCTTTTGCCCAAAAATGTCATATATACCCAGTATTGCCTCGCTGTTTTTGGAGTCTTCATGCTTATGTGAATTCCCTATGCACATGTATTAAAATTTTTATTTTCTTATGTTAATCTGTATGTTGTTTGTATTTTTCAGCCAGCCTGAAGAACTGAAGGGCTAAGGGGACCTTTCTCCCTGTCCCAATAATACGGTCATGCTATGTTGTTATTTATGGTAGCATGAGTTTAGGTGATAGCAAATGTACTTGGCTTATCTGGAAACATTTTGACTTTTTGTTGTTTTAATAAGCAAAACAGTCTTTACAGGTAGGGCTCTTCTATATAGTCATGCTAGCCATCAAAAGCTATTTTCAAAAAATTAATTTTGGCAGTGTGTTTTACCAGCAGCCAAGTTATCCAAGCCCTGAAAACATTTACAGACTAAAGTTACTAAGTGTCAGGCCCTGTGCTAGGCACTGGAGATACAGTGATGAATGAGAGACTCTGAAGTTACTGTTACCAGGAGAATTGCTGCACCACTCTAAGAATCCCTCTGTGACAGTGTGTTTCTGGAGGAAGTCAGAAAACAAAAAAGATTCTACACAGGTGACATGTTTGGACAAATGTAGGCTGTGACCAAATAATGTATTTGAAATTTTAAACTGTTATGTTGAGGGACATGACAGTTCTAGATCCGCTTCCTTCGTTGTCTTAATTTAGTTAGTGACACTTTCATGTTGTAGATTAAAAGTGACCCCAATTTAAAGCAGAGAATCAGTGCTGCCTATTCAGGTTTGTGATTATGTGATTTATTGAGTTTGTTATACAGTGTTTGGATCATGCTTATGTTCTCCAGCTTCTGTTGTACAACTTTAACTCCCAGTATCCTCTTGTGTGACAGGGTTTGTCTTTCACCTTTCAAACACGCTATGCATGAGTGGGCCATATTATATTTCCTCCCACATTTAAATACTTGAGGCACAGTATTTTGGATACTGAGTTGTGACTTGTTTCTTCTACTAGGTTTCAGAATATCCAAAAGTGACTGGTTTAAGGAAAAACCTTACAGATAAGGAACTTTTACTCTTACACCACTGCTCTTTCATTTTTTGACTCAGTGCTAAGTAGGAGGAAGATTCTGAGAATATTAAGATATTTCAAAGAAATATATAATAAGAATATAAAGAGAACTACACCGGAAATGTTTTCAAATATTCTAAGAAAGATTTAATACAGTAAAGTTTGGCAATCTAGAATTTACGAAGCGTGAATCATTCCAGATAGCGGAGGGCTTATCCATTTGAATACCAACGTTTTCAGTGTTCTCAGAGTACTAATACCCTGCTTTCTATAGTATTCTGTATATAGCTTTATTTATAGATGATACTTACTCATCATTACGAAAACCAATCATTGTGTTAACACTGATCACAACTGTGCAAAATGCATGTATAGATACAACGAAGATTGGCAGACAAAACAATGAAAGCATTTTTTAGGTTGGTGTGGTAGTATTTTGAGGTGATGTCTTTAATCCAAAATTTTTTTTTTTTAAATATATCTTTATTGATTTCAGAGAGAGGACAGGAGAGGGAGAAGGAGAGATAGAAACACCAATGATGAGAGAGTCATTGATCGAGCCCGCAACCCGGGCATGTGCCCCGACCGGGAATCGAACCCCGATCGCCTGGATCCTAGGTCAACGCTCAACCGCTGAGCCACACCCGACCGGGCCCAAAATTGTTTTAAACTATGACACAGTGATTCAGGGGTTTGTTTGGAACTTTTATTTGACTGTTTCAGGGATTGATAGTGTGTTTAAGGGTGGTTTTTGGGGCATTCTTCTAGCAATTCTCTGTAGTGTTTTTGTGTCCTCTCGTATTGTCAGTCTGTTGACTGTCACTTCCCAGGACTGTGCTGCTTCTAACAGGAAGTTTAAATATTTTGTTAAAAGGTCTCTTGTTTCAGGTGCCAGCCAAGCCATTATCACCATACATCATCAGCCCATTTTGCCTAGACATTAGAGCACTAGAGATGCAAAAGTTATTTTGAACAGAGAAAAAAGAGGAGAAAATAGGGTATTTCCCTCTCATGTGGTTCCATGAATTCCCTGTTTCCTTGTGTTCTCTCTCCAGGAAGCTGAGAGGTTTAGACATTGTATTTTGAAGAGGCTAAAAGAGACAAACCAAGAATTGTGCTAAAGGAGTGATGCAAAGTTTCTTTTTTTTCTTCCAAAAGAGATATATGGTTTTGCTTTCTTTGCTTTCCTAGGTGTTTCTGTTTACTTTAAAGATTGTCAGCACATCATACCAAAACCATAAAAGAAGCAAAACTAACCTTAATTTCATTTGTAATGAAATTGGAATTTAAAAGAAAAGTATGAATTGCTGCACCCTTTTAATTAGTGAATGGGTGTTGACGAGAGTCAATCAGGTTTCGTGACTCTAAAACAGAAATCCCTGCGACAGACTCGTAGTTCCTTCTCATGGAAACTTGAACTCTTATCCTAATAATGTCTCTGAAACTTCCTGACAGATATTTGAACAACTTTACTGAAAATTAACCTGCAGCTCCCATCTGTTTTATTCCTAAATAGATCTTATTCTTGATGATTTCTACTCACATACCTATTTTATTTTTTTTAATTTGTATTGACCTACTTCTTAGACCCACGATTTTTAATTGCCATCTAGTACAGTTTTTAATGCACAGCTAAAATAAGTTTTGGTCAGTGGGTACAGTGGGCTGTTTTCTCCACTATAGTTTCATTAACGTCAATCTTAGGTAAGCACAGTAATTAAGAAAGAATGAATACTTTCACATAGAGCAACAGAATTTTTTTATCAGAATTCATTGTAACTCTCAGGTTTCTGTTTTGGGTGATACATATTGCAACATTTCAACTTTCTCCATGTCCACATTTCCTGCTGAGGGGACAGACCAGGTTTAATCTGTTGAAGCTGTAAAATCCATCTAATTCACTAAGGACTCTTAAAAGGCAGATTATTTTTCCTTCAACTGTTTTGAGTCGTATTGATTATTATTGGATTTCTTTCTTGGAATAGATGGGGGAAAAAAGAATCAAGTGATGATTCATGGAATTGAGCCAATGTTGGAAACACCTCTACAGTGGCTGAGTGAACATCTGAGCTACCCGGATAATTTTCTCCATATTAGTATCATCCCACAACCAACAGATTGAAGGATCGACTACTTGCTTGAACAGAATCGCCCTTACACAGGATTTACCAGAGCATGTCACCCTTCTGCTTCAGTCAGGTTTGGTGGAGGCAACCTGACCAGAAACCCTGCTGCAAGCCAAACAGGAAAAAGATTCCCTGTCTGATAAGGGCACTGGGGCTGGTCTTGCTTTGCATCACCACTGCTTTCCTCCACTGCCGTCATTAAACCTCAGCTGCGACAGGAAAGACTTTACAGGACCACTGCAAGTCTTCTGTTTTCTTGTAAAATACAATGAAGCCGAAACCTTTGGCCTAAGAAGAAAATGGAAATATGTGCCACTCAGTTTGTATTTCTGATTAACAAATAAACAGGGGTATTTCCTAAGGTGACCATGGTTGAACTTTAGCTCGAGGGAGTGGAAACATTGGTTTAATTTTCAAGAGAATTAGACTTAAGAAAGTAAAAGAGAAATTCTGTTATCAATAACTTGCAGCAATTTTTTGTAAAAGATCAAATTACAGTAAACCCATCTTTCCTTAATGAAAATTTCCTATGTTTACAGTCTGTCTGTTGGTATGCAAGCANATTTTTTGTAAAAGATCAAATTACAGTAAACCCATCTTTCCTTAATGAAAATTTCCTATGTTTACAGTCTGTCTATTGGTATGCAAACAATCTTGTAACTTTGATAATGAACAGTGAGAGATTTTTAAATAAAGCTTCGAAATATGTTTTGTCATTTAATAACATACAGTTTTGTCACTTTTCCAGTATTTTGACTCACGCATAGTAGATCACTGTTTTTACTCTCACGTGTTACCACTGAGACCGGTCGTCATCGGCACAGGATAACCTGTCTCAGGAGCTCTCCTAGGAGTTCTAGCTGCCGATTTTTGCCGATTTTAAAATCTGTGTCCTTTACATGCTAAAGATATTAATAATGTTATTTATCTTTGCTGTTTTCCCACTGCAAACCTGTCAGATCATAGTATACTAAGCATCTGTATAGAATAAGTTTGCATTTTTGGGAAAACTGATTCCTTTCCAAGGTAGTGTGTTTCATTGGCTTCAGGTCTAATATTTCACTGTGGTCCCTGGGAGCGAGTCTTTGAAGTCTAAAGATTACCGACCTCCTGACTGCAGTAGCTTTTCCTCAACATTACCAAAAATATTCAGGGGTGACTAGATTCTCATTCAGTATAAGGAAGGTTTTGCTGCACTTTATTACCACACTGCTGGGATTCTCCCAGCGGGAAGTATTTGTGCATTACACTTTGTTCCTTGTAAGCTGTCCATACTGAATGTCGACCCATTTGGGTAATGCTAAAAGACATAGTATCATACAATAATGGTTTTAGGTTGCACAATACAAATGGATGTTTTTCTTCTAAAAGTTATGAATATTGAAGTGAGATCCTGCTGATGCTCACCGCTGCTCTTTTCTTTCTGTGACTTTCACTGATTTAATAACAGACTTATTACCAACATGAGATAAAGTTAGTCAAAGATCAAATATCCTGGAATGAAAGGTATAAGCTCAATCACATAGAAAAATAGGTACTAGTGTGATCAGAGAAAAACAGAAGAAAGCAGTGAATAACTGGTGAATGTCCATAAAATGAAAAGTGCTGTTTTAGTACAGGTGGAAAAAATAACAATATTTGAGTTACTTAAGGATAAAAAAAAAAAAACCAAAACCCACTGACTTGTATTTTTTCAAAAGAGGTTGATTCTGAATATGATTGTTCACATTAAAAGTGTTTATTCGTCTCTTCAGTTTGGGGATTTTCCCCCTTGATGTTTTGACAGACTGAAGTGAGCTTCAGTGAGCAAAAGGATGAAAATGCCAGGGAGTGCGGAGCCGTGAGGCAGCGAGTGCAGTCAGGGCAGTAAGACCCTCCTCTTCCACAGGCGAGACGCGGGTAGGTCTCTGCAGTCGCTCACGGGAGCTGCTGCTGATCTTTACTTCCAGATTGGAAAGTAGATCTTATCAAGCCCTCACCCATTTTTATGTACTTGTTCTAATGATTTATACCAGCACAACTGTATTACTCTAGTCCCAGGTAAGTCAAGCCTCCGCTACCCAGAGGGAAAATAGAAACGCAGATTAGTGCTGGTTTAAATATGTTTTTGTTTCTTTTTATTTGAATATTTAAATTTTATGGTTTATTAAAAAATCAAACAAATTTTCTGTCTGTCTTTATTTCTAGAAGTTGGAAATGAAGTTTATATAAAGCAAGTTACCTATTAGGGAACTCATTAAAGTCGCCTTAGGCTTATGCCAGTCTTAAAAGTTCCTCTAAGAAATAAAACCTAAAGGAAAATGTAGGAAAGAAAATTGGAGGCGGCCAGAAATCTTTCTATGCTGGTTTAACTCATCCTTGGTAGTGAACCCCCTTAGAGAATGAAATGTGTTTTAAAATTATTGACATTTTTAACCAGGAAGGAATAAGTTCAGCCTAAATAAAGTAAATAGTTGCTTGTCTTCCATAATGTTTTGCATTCGGATGATCTTAGTTCTAACCATGGATAGAGTTGAATTGATAAGCACCTTATGTACCTAGAGACCCAAAGTAGCCTGATTGTAATGGAATGAAATTGACCTACCAGTCTTTACAGCATGGTCATATATAGACATAGCCTAAGCAGTCCAAAGCGAACCCATGAGTGAACTCGTCCTGTTATGTTTATTTCTCCCCTTACCGCCACCCCCCATTCTCTGGAAACTAGAAAGAAATTGAGAAAATAATATACAAGATTTGATATTGAGTGACAGTAACTTTTAATGATTATTTTTCTGGAATATGTTTATTTTTTTATAGGCTATGAGAGATAACATTGTCTTTAAATTTTCAGAAAAATGTAAAGGATTATGTGGGTCATGCTAAAGAATGAGTCTTACTTGTATTTATCTTACTGTTGATATTTAGGGCTGAGGTAAGTTGGTTTCCTGTTAGATGTGCCAACGTAGTTGAAGTAGAAGTGTAGAATCGTGGGGTATAGCAGGATAAAAATCAAGTATAACAACATTTATAGTGTGGGGCTTAAAAAAAAACAAAACTTCTGTTGGCAGCAGTGAAAATGACACCAGGTGTTAGACTAGTGGAGTCAGACCAGACCTTGGGTCAGCTACCTTGGTACTTGAAACCTAGCTAAGAAAGAATTCAGAGTCAAGACTCAGACCGTAAGAAAAAGTTTAGTCAGAAAGTCACAGAGGTAGAAGTGATCTGTAGAAGACACAAGCTTAGGAAACAAGTTACAGATGCAAAAGAAAGGAACTTAGGAGAGAGAAAGGTGATGCACCTGAGGGGAAGAGGAGGTGGACTGGGAAGGCACAGGCATGCTCCCGAGAGGGAGAGCCTGCTGGGTCCTCCATCCTGAGGGCTTTTAAGGGTGAAAATGTTAGAGGAGGTCCCAGGGGAGGATCTCAAGGATCTGAATATTCATCAGTATTCCAGGTGTGCCCTTTCAGGGTCACAGTCTCCACTGATCGATTGGTCAGCACCAGGGCAGGGAGTCGTCAGTCAGTGCAGCTGGTCCTGAAGTCAGCCATGGCATCGCTTGCCTGGTTCTGCTGCTTTTCTGGGCCTGGAGCTGAAACACAATTGAGGCCTAGATGTTATTCCTAGAGATTAATGCTTAATAGAGTGGTCTTGCAAGGGCCCGCATGGGAGTTGAACGAAGCCACTCTTTGGCCTCTCTTCCCCCTCCAAGGGGGCCTGCCAGGGGAGGGTCCAAACTACATGACCAGCAACATGAAAGGTCAGGGGTCTAAACCGTGATAAGCTAGGGGAAGAAAGGTTCCCGGAGGGCTGAGGTCCTTGTTTTCCCAGTTTTGCCCAGTTGCTAGATACCTGGGGCTTTCTGTCCTGATGACCTTTCTGTACCTGGCCCATCATCCTTCCTCTGCTCATGTCTATCTGCTTAACACGTTTCCACCTAAGTTCTTCTAGATGGGCTAATCAAGTTAACAGGCAGATTAACAGGAAAAAACCCAAAATTTTAATACTTGTGCACAGGGAATTCACATAAACATGAAAATTCCAAAGAGAGTAAGGAAACATTGGGTATTTGTGTCCTTTTGGACAAAGAAGAAAGGGTGGGGTAGGGGTCTGAGATTTTGAAGGAAGAAGTAAACTACTGGTAGTTGAGGCATAGGGGATCATGCTTGGTAGGCACGTTTTTGCTTGGCAACCCAGAAACAATAAGACATAGCAGGGCATTCAGTAAATAAGCCTTTGCTGGATCCTTCCTGCCTGATGCTTGAGGTGATTATTCTAAGGTTCCCTTCCTGAAGCAGGTTTTTCTGTTTGATTCTCTTAGGAAAGGGGTAAGGGTCAAAGATTATTTCTGGGACTTGTTTCTTAGAAACTCACTTAAAATCAATCTCCCAAAAGGCAGCTTCTAGGGTGGCAAAACTTTGGTCCCCTTCAATAGTCAATCCCATTCATAGTTAATCACTAGGACGGAATCATTAAAAATATTTAACCTTTCTGAGTTCTATCATCCTCTTAAGTGTTTTCTAAATAAAATCATCTCCTGGTCTGAAAATGTTAAAAATTACCCGTAGGGCTGTTGGAAAGAAGGAAAGAGAGACATGCCTCTTTTTGGATGATTTGAGATTAAGTGACACTGTAATTATAAAATGTTATTTACAATATAACTATTTGGTAAAAGAATGCTTTAAATTCTCTCAAACGTGAATTATGAGTAGTAGGCATAACACAGAGTGGGGCAAAAGTAGGTTTATAGTTGCCTGGTCAGTGTGGCTCAGTGGTTGAGCATTGACCCATGAACCAGGAGGTCATGGTTTGATTCCCGGTCAAGGCCCATGCCCTGGCTGCCAGCTCAATCCCTGGTAGGGGGCGTGCAGGAGTCAGCTGATCGATGATTCTCTCATCATTGATGTTTCTCTCTCTTCCTCTCCCTACCTATCTCTGATAGCAATGAAAACTTTTTTTTTAAAAAAAGTAGGTTTACAGTTGTGAGTATGCAAAACAGTTCATTCTTGTATTATTGTTTATTGCATTATTTTCCATATGAACAACTGTAAACCTCCTTTTGCCCCACCCTATATAGCAACCATACAGTGGGAAAGAACTCAATTTTTAGGTCATTTAGGAGGTTCATTAAATATTTAGGTCTTTAAATACTTAATTAACAGTGTTTGTTAACTGATAATATGCTGGAATGACCAGCAGTGAGATAAAGACAAATCTGAAGGTTTGGAAATGTCAGCATGCTTTCACATACCAGTTGATTTCTTCTGAAAGTGATTAATTTGGCTTTCCCTCTAGCTCCCCCCAA